AGACAAGTAATGGGCGCCCCTGGGAAGCTGCTTTTCTCCCTTCTCTTTCCCTTCTCTCTCTCGCTCTCTCTCGTCTCGTTCTTGGATCCGAAAGATGAAAATCACATCATTCTTGGGTATTACTGAGGAGACAAGTAATGGGCCCTTGGGAAGCTGCTTTTCTTCCTTCTTTTTCCCTTCTCTCTCTTTCTCTCTCTCTCCCTCGTCTCGTTCTTGGGTCCGAAAGATGAAAATCACATCGTTCTTGGGTATCGTCATCAATTTCAAATGGGAAAGGAAATTTAGGGAAGCGGGTGATGCCTCTTGGCCTAAAAAAAGGGAAAGGTTTGATACTCCGCGCCTTTTCTACCTTCTTTTTCGCTTCTTTCTCTTTCTCTCTCGTCTCGTACTTGGGTCCTTTAATTAGTAGCGCGATTTTCCACTCACTAAAGATTATTTTTATATAAGAGTAAAGCGAGTGTTAATAGCCATCAAATTCAATCACTTCAATTATTGTCTTTTCATAGCGATCGTGATCACATTATCAAATAAAGTCCTGTGACTCTTAAAACGGTGCAGACCAAATTTAATTGTCTTGTTCTATGTGAGGCTCGTATTTTTCTTTCAAAAATCTTTTTCTTGTTTTTTTTTCAAGATTGACTTGATTTCGGGATCTTTAAGTTTAGAGGGGGGTGGTGCGCTAGTCGGAGATTGATTATCTTGGTTTGGTCGAATCCCGACCGACTTGATGAGCTAAGAGAAACTGGATTAGACATTACAGATACAGTGATGGGGACAAACTTCAGGTGGGATTGGTGAGGATCGACGCTCCCAAAAATTGAATTCTGGGGTCAGTTTTGATCAGTCATGTACTAGATTTATGGAAACATCATGTGAAAATTCTCTCCTGAAGGTGAGACTCTTGATAAGTTTCTTTTTCTTATGTGCCCCTTGTAGGCCATTGACGACGGTGTTTAATGTGGTTTTTGTCCTTTTAATAGCTTTTCATTTGCTAGAACAGTGGTTGTGTTGGTGCGTCCGCATGACATTTTGGATTAGAAGACAAAAAAAAAGAGCATATAATTCCCATTCGATCGTACTTCTCCCATGCCACTGCATTCTGTAATTATCCTCACATGGGATTCCAATAATTGCCCTATAAAAAACTACTGTAGAGTTATTCTGAGGGAAAAAGTCATAAAAAAAATCTTCAAATTATGCCCAGATATATTTATCATAATTTTTTTTGTGACGTTAAAAATCCTAAACTATATCCACTGTAACACATTTACTCTAAATTTTTTCTTGTGACAAAAAAAACTCCAAACTTGTACCTATGTGATATATTTACTCTCCGCCAAGGTTTCGTTATGATTTTTTGATTAAAACATCGTTTTTATTTTGCTTAGCTCACGTGGGAACCATGTCAATATTGTTTACTTTCTGGTGTCCATGAAAGCATATTTTTAATGATTCTCATTGATGGAGGGTAAATGTGTTATACATATACAAGTTTAAGGTTTTTGATGTTACAGAAAAATATTTATAGTAAATATGTCACAGTAGGCATAATTTAAGGTTTTGGGTGGCTTTTTCCTGCCTCTCGCCTCCGTCCTCCACCATCCGACCTTCGCCTCCCCCCTCCGGCCTCTGCCTCGTCACCTCAGCCTCGCGGCCTCCACCACCACCCTCCCACCTTCCGCCTTTGTCCTCCCGTCTCCGCCTTCGCCTCCGTCCTCCCACCTCCGCCTCCCCCTTGTGGCCTCCGCCTCGTCGCCTTAGCCTCGCGGCCTCCGCCTCGGCCCTCCCGCCTCAGCCTTGTGGCCTCCGCCTTGTGGCGTTAGCCTCGTGGCCTCCACCGGAGAAAAGTCGCCACCGCCCCCCGCTCGTCGCCTCTGCCCTTTCGTTTCCGCCTCCGCAATCAGTAAAATATTTGACTGTTGGTGTTAAGGTTTGACTGATCTTTCTGCATAATCCATTTTTTTTTCAGAGGTCTCTTAAGTTATATAACCCATTATTTATAAAGATGAAAGTGACTAACTGAGGAAATGATTCACAAGAAAGTTTGGAGGAAAAAATAAGACAACTAGAAATAGAATATTTTCTCTGATTCGTGGGTCTTAAATGAGGTAAGCAACTTTCTACACCATGCTTGTTGTTGTTAGTCAAGTAACATTCATGATAACTTAGGACCAAGATATGAGCAACTATATTTCTACTTGGGAATGTTTACAACTCAAAGCAGAAGTACGTGAAGCAAACCAACTTCGAATTTCATAAATAATGCACATGCACAAATCATAGATAAGAGTTATAGCATGCAACAAGCACCGATGTCTTTCATCTATCTCTCAAGAACAAGGATGAAGGCAAACTTGGAGATTTTTTCCTCAAAGAGATTGTGAAGTTCCGAGTTTCAATAACAAATCACTGCCACTTCAGATATACCAGATGAAGTTGAACAGGGGCCTTCGGTAACTTGAGTCAGTCAACCTCACTAACAATTAAACTCGACTTAGTCACGACCTGAAATCTTTTTGGTCAAGACCACATTCAAACATGAACGAGTTTCATTAACATCATCAAGCCCAATTTAAACACTTGACAAGCCCAACATTCCACATGAACTATAATCAAATTCAAGTTTGGATTTCAAATCAGTACTGAAATTAAAGATAAAATTGAAAATGATTTATCTTTGGATATGTGATGTGATTTGTATGTTTTTTTTTTAAATGTGTATGAGGGAATTTTCTGTTGCGTCTTTCTTGCTGGAGGGTTTTCCGCCAGTAGCATCCTTGATATCTATGAGTCGTTGTGTTTTTTTTTATTTTTTAAATTTGTAGATCTTGCAAGTTCACCACACACATTGCAATAGGCTTTTGCTTCCAAGTATGTGATCGTGCTTCAGAAATACCAACTTTTGGGAATGCAGAGACCTATAATTACACTCGATTGACTGGAATTAAGACATGCTTCACTACACTCATTTCAAATTATGATTGAAATATGCACACTTCACAATCTTTTACGGTCAGTAACTTACATTTGTACGAATTTTCGACAGATTATTCCGAGTACTTTGCTGCTAGCTCGATTTGTTCTCGAGACAAATGGGTATGACTCATCTTTTTAGAATTAAAGTTTGTTTTCACTTTATCTGCCTTCTTTAAATGATCAGATTTTTGCTTTTAAAAATTTGTAGAGGTTGTAGTGGATAATATCATTATGCATAATGTTGATAAAGAATTTGAATTTAGAATTGGCATAATATTTGCTAACGAGGATGAAGCATATAAGACATACAATGCATATGCAATTTCCAAGGGGTTTGGAGTGAGAAGAGGACAAAAGGAAAACAATAAAAAAGGAATATTGCGAACATGCACATTTCTTTGTAATTGTGAATGACACTCTCCACCAATCCTACCTCATGAACAAAGAGATGCTTATAGGACAGTAAAGAGAACTGGATGTCAAGCTTGTGTAAAATTCAAAATTGAAAATGGAGTTTGGATAGTTGACAAGTTTAAGGATGATCATAATCATCCTTTCATTGACGATAATCAAAAACACTTGATAAGATCATACAGGCACATGACAGATACTAATAAAAGCATTTTGATTTCTATGGCTGGAGCTGGTATAAGGGCTATGCAAGCGCACTCCTACCTGAGTGGTGAAGCGGGAGGACAAGAGAATATTGGCTTCACTTTACGTGATTGTCAAAATTTCTTACAATCAAAGAGAAGGGATTTGATTAGTGAAGGTGATTGTCAAAGTCTCATTAACCATTTTAATTACTTACAATCAAATGGAAGCAATTTTTCATATACATTTCAACTGGATGAGGAACAAAGATTGACCAACTTTTTTTGGTCTGATGGTGTATCCAAGCTGGACTATGAAAGTTTTGGAGATGTGGTGGTATTTGATACAACTTACCGTACAAATAAGTACAATATGATATGTGCACCTTTCGTTGGCTTGAATCATCATTGGAAGAATGTTCTCTTTGGTTGTGTATTTTTATTGGATGAAACTATTGCTTCTTTTGTTTGGGCATTTTGATCCTTTTTAGAGGCAATGGGCAATAAAGCACCCAAAACTACTTTCACCGATCAAGATCATGCCATGGCGAATGCCATTAAGACTGTTCTTCCGAATACTAATCGCCGTTTATGTGTATGGCACATTGCGAAAAATGCTACGGATCATATTGGGCATCTTCTTACAAATCCGAGTTTTCGCGATAACTGTTGGCATAAGCTTTTATATCATTGTGAATCCGAATTTGAAATGGAGAATGTTTGGAAAGTTATGTGTCAAGAATGGAGCTTGGGAGACCACAAGTGGTTAAATAACATGTATCAGCTGCGTCATAAATGGTGTCCTACATTTGGCTGAGATATTTTTTCTGCAGGAATTAGATCCACACAAAGAAGTGAGAGCACAAATAACATCTTTCAAGATATGGCATGCAAGACCATGACCTTGTCTGAATTTGTCAATCATTATGAGAAGCAACCAGAAAAAATGCGCAACTCTGAAGTTGTTGATGATTTTGAGTGTGCTCGAGGAAAGCCGGGGATTATGGTTGAAAATAGTGGAATTTTGAAACATGCTGCAAATTTATACACTCATGTCATTTATCGAAAATTTCAGGATGAGTTCTTGCATGCTTTGTCTGTGGGTGTTTGTAGATCGGAATTGATGGGCCAGTGCACACTTATATTGTGGCAACTGAAAGTAGTGAAAGGAGGCATGTTGTTTGTTTTAGTTCAAGTGATTTAACCATTACATGTAGCTGCAAGTTCTTTGAAATGTGAGGATGGTTGTGTTGGCATACTTTATGCATCTCGAGACATGTAAATGTTACAAGCATTCTTTCACAATACATTCTGAAGAGGTGGGCAACAGCTGCAAAACAAGGGACTTATTGTGTTGTTGGATAAAGCTCTCATGCTGTGGTAAAGTAAAAAACATTACGCTTGAAGAGATTGATGCAATTGGCTTTCAGCGTTCTGAATATTAGTGCAAACGATGATGTTATAGAGGAGCTTGGAACTACAACCTTGCCGCGTCTTCGCTCCCATATCACAAACAAAATGCAATCTTTGATAGGTAATGATCATGTTAATTTCTTGGTGGAAAGTGATGAAGCTGAAGATGTAGAAAACTGTGAAATTCAAATACTTGATCCCCTTCGAAGAAGACCAAAATGTGTAGCAAACACTCAGTTGAAGGGTGCTAATGAAAAGTGAAAGAGAAAACCATCTTCATGCGCAGGAGGCACCTCACACAAGGTATGATGCTTGTTTAATTTGTGATTTTATCAATGAAAGCCATGAAGTTATTATGATACTCTTCCTTTTTTGCAGGATTGACCTTCGGTGATCATTGACTACGATGGGTAGATAGCGAATTTGGTGATTGGTTATCCTCCAGTTTTGATTAAAAGCATTAACAACTCTTTAAAACCTCGGATTAGGTTTTTTATTGATATAATGGGGAGACAACTCGATGAAGCTGCTGATTATCCTGACTTCTTTCCCCATAGTTTGAAAATAGACTAGAGCGACGTTACAAATTTTTGAGCCAAAGGAACATCGGCTGTAGCATGAGCGAGATGCTGGATTGTGATCAAAAGAAGTTCTTATTGAAGTTCGGTTTGATTGGAGGATTCACTTGAGTTAATAGTTACATCTTTTGTTCATTCTTACAAATTTTTTGTAGAATAGCTTTAGCTGTTATTCTGTATCCCTGATGCTCGAGGTGAAGTCATCTTGTATGTGGTTCTAGTCAAACAATTTAGATGCTTAACGAAATGATCCTTTTGGCAAATTCAGCCCAAAATTTTGGTATCTAATGTGTAGACTCGTTGCGCGGCTTTAATGGTGTTGTTTGCAGGTGGTTTGCTTGGCATGTGTGGTTGATGGGCATACTTCTTATGGAGATTGGATCGAGCGATGTATTGTTTTCTCCATATGTGAGATGAAATGAATGCTCATTTGAATGCACTGGTACACTTTGAAGCTCACGGATCCACTGGCTAGCCAAGCCAAGTGAATGCGATTGCCAAGTCTATAATTCTAGGGTGCCTAGCATCTCTAATTCTTGTTGTGAATCCATCATGGTCTAGTGTGGATGGACTGGGAGATTTATAGTTGATGAATGATCATTGTAGATGACTTGATGAATGATCATTGTAGATACTCTGAATCAATGCATATGGTTTCAGGTTTAAGATTGGCGGTCTTGATTCCTGTCAAAAACTTGTTTCTTCCTTAAAGTTATTATGTAGCTCGAACGTTACACGTCAGGTGTTATTTCTATGCGACCAATGCTGAGTTCTCCTCCCTTGCAGTCTACTTATAATTAGATGTCCGATCCAAATTGACCCATTAACTCATTTATGACCCATTTATGCGTAATGTAATTTTCTTGACCCATATCCGACCCAACCCATACTCAACCCATACCCGGTCAGATCCATATTGCTAAAACACTTCCATATTTAATTAAATCTAGGAAAATTCATACCCAAACTGAGATGAGAGTACGAAGTGAATGAGCGCAAGATTGAGTGAGGGCGAGAGAGATGAGTTAAGTTTAAATCAGTTGTAAACTCATTTATGACCCATTTACGACCCATTTATGACCCATTTAATACTAATATTAGACTCCTACCCATTTATGACCCATTTACTAATATATGGGTTAAGAAATGGATTTATGACCCATTTTGACAGGTCTACTTATAATGGAAAGAGTGATAGAGGTGATCCATCGACTTGGCCAGAAGTGGAAGGGCCATTAACGGTAAGAAATTTCTAGACAGAAAGGCAACAAGATGGTGAGAGGATGAACTTGCGCTAGTTGAAAAATCGATTGTGTATGTCTTTTATAACCGATAGAAGGGGCATGAACTATAGAGATGTTAAAGTCGCAATGACTTGGTAATCTAAATACTGGCAACTATGGTCAGTTTTGTTTTCATAACATGCCATGTTCTATTGTTAGTCATTGTAAATTGTATATTCTATATGAAATTTTGACATGTAAATAAACTTTCTGTCATTCAGCTCCAGATGTATTGGCAGCTTCTCAGGAATTGCCTTCAATCACTGATGTGATCATAAACCTAATTCATGGTGCTTGAAAATTGGAACATCTCGACGAATCTAAAACGTGAGAGAAAGAACTCTGGGAGGAATATCAAACAAACACGTTCATGTTATTACAGACATCGAATACCACGCACACTTCAATTTGATAAACCCATTTACATGACCAATTATTGGATAATGAAATCTCCAAACGACTGCACAAAGAAGAAATACGGTCTTTCCAAACATTATTGTCTTTCCATAATCAAGGAACAATTCTTGGTTAAACTAGCAGCAACAGCAGATAGTCTCCAAGCAGCACTCGCAAGTCTCAAAGCAGCAACAGCAGTAGCACAGCGCGAACAAACTGCACGACCAAACTGCACGACCAAATTGGCTCGACTATAAATTCAGGAGAGCAGGAGGGATAGTAATAGACTATGCACTGGCAAAAACACAAAACTATGAATTCTCATCTAAAGTATCTCCGCCACTGTCAGATGCACTAAAGAGTGCCTAAATCAACATGCAATTACGTATTCTAACAGAGAAAAAGCCATGAATAAATTGCAGGCCCCAGTCAACTTCCGATTTACTGAATCAACTTCAGCAATTAGACACTATTCACAGTGGAATTGTCTAAATCACAAAACTCAGAAACTTGTGCTCTAAAGATGCTGGGTGATAACATTTTTCAGGCGTCAGGTAACTGAATTCAACTATCTCACCTTTCCTTCACCAGAAGAGCCTGCCACGCTTTTTTCCAGCCATCACTTGCACATTAGAGCTGAGTTTCCATGCCTTAGGTTCAGAAAAACATTCGAGCAAGTTGTGGCTATGGTCTATCTCAGGTTCAGGTTCTTTCATTTTGCTCATTCTTTTTCTAGCCTTTATTTGGTTTCGTCACCGTTCCAAGAGAAAGAGAACTTACATGAGTGGAGAAGAAGATGATCCAGCGATTGTAGAAGAATTCGAGCAAGTATATATGAACAACCGCAAATCACTAACTGAAGCTTTACTTATTGCTAGTGTTTGAGGTCTATGAATACCCATCTCCCTAAGATAACATTACTATCCTGTGAAGAAATAACCCATTCGTTAACAACTGGGGAGTTCACTCATAATCGTGCAGTACATGGCTGACGAACCCGGAGGTTCTCTAAGCTAGAAAAAGTAAACTGATATATGGCGGACCAATTTCCACGATCGCCCTTTGTTGTTGAAAATGAGAAATAAGAGCCAACGTCTTAACTTTTGTTAAGCTGATCATAGTAAAGTAAAGCAAGTTCTACATAACCATCAAGATTAACTCCTATAATTACCTATATAGTAACATAGAAATCACAATTCCAAGAAGGAAAGATACGATGACTCCATATAATATTATCATTGACATAATAAAGCCTATTTTTCTTCTAATTAACTTCAAATCTCCTTTTATGATTGCCAATTCTTCATTTTCGCTTGATGCCTCCCTAGAATTGACTACGTCCACATTTTTAGGCAGATTTTGGCTGAACGATATCCTCGCATTCCTCGATATAATCTTCAACCCATTGTACAAACCCCGACAATTATTTGTCTGAAAAAAAAATTAGTGTAAAGTAATATCAAGTATTACAAATGTCACACATGCTACATGCACGATATGGTAAATTGATACACTTACATTATAAGTCGAAGCATAATATAACCTTCCTCGATTAATAGGATTTTTTTGCACTTTTTTTACCGTGCATAATTTCCCTTGAGGACATGGACATATCTTGGATGGAAAATCAATCGACCAATTTGAAAATCCTCGAGATGCCATACTAAAGTAATAATATCATATAATCAAAATTAAATTAGGTTTAATCAACAAAAGTAATCCAAGCAAATAAATGTAATAGATAACAAAACCTACAACAATCTTTTTCCTCTACATGTTCCTGTCGATCATTTTCAAAATCTGTCAGCTCCACTAATCGTGGCTTAAAAAAGCTTGCCTTATAGAATTAACCACAAACACAATGATAGAATTTTTCCCAGTAAAATTTGACTAACAACAACAAGCATGGTGTAGAAAGTTGCTTACCTCATTTGAGACCCACGAATCAGAGAAAATATTCTCTTTCTAGTTATCTTATTTTTTCCTCCAAACTTTCCTGTAAATCATTTTCTCAGTTAGTCACTTTCATCTCCATAAATAATGGGTTATATAACTTAAGAGACTTCTAGAAAAAATGGATTATGCAGAAAGATCAGTCAAACCTCAACACCAACAGTAAAATATTTGACTGATTACGGAGGCGGAAGCGGGAGGGCGGAGGCGACGAGCGGGAGGCGGAGGCGACTTTTCTCTAGCGGAGGCCACGAGGCTGAGGCGGGAGGGCGGGGGCGGAGGCCGCAAGGGGGAGGCGGAGGGCAGAGGCGAGAGAGCGGAGGCGGAGGCGGGAGGACAAAGGCCGGAGGGTGGAGGCGGAGGGCGGAGGACGGAGGCTGGAGGGTGGAGGCGGAGGTGGAGGGGGTCTTGGGACCGAGCCGCTGCGATCGGCCTTCCGCTTTTCATCGGCGGTTTCCGGAGCCACTGACGATGAAAGTGAAGAAGAAAAGATAAGAACAACGATGAGATGAGAGGAAGCCTTCTAGGAAGGGAAGGAGAAGAGTGAAAAAGTAATGAAATTCAAACTAACGTGAAAGAGAAAAGAGAGGGAGAAGGGGAGAGAGACACAACAATTAATGCACGCATTAATTGCTTCACTTCTTTGCTCACACCTCCTCCTATAGGTACAGGGGAGAGAGAGTGTTTTTCCTAGGGCGCCAGTGGAGGGAGGAACCAAACATAACTTTATTTTTTTTTATTCCAGGTCAGTATCACATGACCTATTATCAGTGGTCCACGTGGGTTTATAAATGCCACGTAGGCACGTGATGTGATGTGCATAAACCACTAAATATTGTCTCATTTACCCGAGAAGGGGTCACACAAAGCCTATATGGTTCATAGGATCTTAACCCATCCACTGGTCCAATTTATCAATAATGTTCTATCATTTTATTGTCCCACTCAATTACAAGCTCGAGTCACTAAGTTCAACCTCTCCTCATTCTCATATGCAGGTAAGGGGAAGAGGAAAGAGATGGGGGCGCAACTAGGAAGGTCTAGTGGCTTGCCGGCTAGAATCGCTCTTGAAGGTAGGCCACGGGGTCACTGGCGACGTTGTGGGCGAAGAACGGTCGAGGTGGCGAGAGGGTACCGCCGAGGCTAGGGGCCTAGGGCATGGCAAAGGATTAAAAGGAGAGGGAGGGATGGGAGAGAGATCAGAAGAAGGGGAAATGGGAGATTGAATGGATGGCTCAATTTCTCTTTTGTTGTCTATTGGAATGGGCATATGGCGCGAATCTAATAATAGATGGGGTGGTGACAAGAAGTAGCTATAATACCAAGGACAGTACTGCTTCTCCCCCTGGGGTGTTGAGGGTTCCTTTTTTGCCCGAGAAGGGGTCACGCAATGTCTTCCCCTTCTTCCATCGTCTGTTCACCGTCGCCGGGAAACAATCTCCGATGATCGCCATTTCGGACGCACGAGATACCGTTGTTCGTCGCTTCGGGCGCACGAGCCATTGTTGTGCGTCGTTTCTCCGCCGTGCCGGAAGACAGCCTGGTTCCGTTGCGGTCCTGTTCGTAGACGATCGTGAAGACTTGGCGCTGCTTCCAAACCAGGTAAGACTTCTTTCTCGTGTGTACACTGTTTTTGGCCGAGAGAAGTTGATCCGATTGCCGAGTTTGTGGAAAATTCTTGCTAAAATGCGACTGATCCGTTATAGAACAACTTGATTTAGATGCTTATACATCGCTCCTCGATTGAGAATCATGTTCAAATCAAACTGGAAGTTCGTCCTTTAAGTCGCGCAACGCCCGTTTGACAAAATGCTTAAATGAAGAACCGAATCGATTTATGTGAAATCGATGCTTGGGGCTCGTTCTTTTATTCTTGATTTGTTCTTTGATCGATGAATCACAATACTGAATCCGTGTTTTTCCTTGATTCTGTGGCGTTCATTTATAACGGTCCGGCCATGGATGAGACTTCCGTCGGAGATATATTCCCATCGCCGGAGCTAAAGCCAGCGGTTTGAGGCCGCCACAGTGAGTTCTCTATCCTTGTTTCGTGTGTTCATGAGTGCTTAGATTTAGCGTGTTGGATTAGATGGAGATTGGTGACCGATTGAGAATAAGTGGCTCTATTTTTTATTGTGGCCGATGTGTGATGAGGGACGACGGTGGCTGTAAGTTGTAGTCAACGGAAGTTCGGCGGTGGCTGGAATAGATGGCCGATGGCGAGGGTTAGAGAATCGGTGGTAATAGATTCCCGACGGTTTTGGTGAAGTGCAGTGTAGAAACTTCGGTGAAGGCATGAAGAAGAAAACCAGAAAAATAGAAATAAAAAATAAAAAGAAGAAGAAACAAAAAAGGGGAAATAAAGAAATAAAGAAATAGAAAATAGGGATAAAAAAAGGGAAATAAATTAGAGTCGGGTCAGATCTTGTTACTCGGGTCAGATTTGAGGTCGGGTTGGAGGCTGGGCTGCAAAAAGTGTTCAATGTTGGTGTGATTGGGTTGAACTCGAAATTGGGACAAAATAAATTAAACAAATGAGGTTAGAAACTTGGGCTTGATTTGTTGTGATGGCTCATCAGAAGAGACCCAAATTTAGACTGGGCCCAAGGACCGGTCCAAATTGCGAGTCTCAGTCCGGGTCAGACCGGCTAATTAGACCGGGTTCCTTGACAGGGTCCAGAGTCCTTTTTTTTTTTTTCCTTTTCGAAATAAAAAATATAAAATAGAAATAAAAAATTTCAGAAAATTCAGAAAAATAAAAAATGTGAGAAAAGCTAAAAAAAAATGTAGAATTCTCTTAGTTTAGGGCTTTCAATAGACACTTTAGGCTTGAACAAAAATTGAATCCAAAATTGAATAAGCCTTTAGGGCTTTACTTTAGGAATTTTTTATTGCTTTTTCTTTTAGAGATGATGCTAGGTCGTTGTTTGTACATTTTCATTTTTGATTTCAATTGATTGTGCATTTTAAATACTTTCTTTGTTGTTCTCTTTAGAATGATTAGGACAAAATTTCAAGATTCTCGATTAGTAAAAAAGACTACCCCTGCATGTTTAGGTACCGAAAGTGCATTAGTTAAAAAAACTAGTGTAATCAAGTCTCCGATCCCTAAGAATCTCTGGTTGTATGCATCGAGACGATACTTTCACGTCTCGATTTTAAGGTTTCTAGCCGATCTTTAATCGTGGCTAGTGGCGATTCTAAATAAAGTACATAAATTTAGACAACTAACGTCACGCGAGGTACGGACTGAAGGAGTGTCTCGTAAAGTACCTCTAAACCTACTTCTCCCGAGGCAGCCCTCAAGGGGTAGGTCACGACATACAAAGCCTATATGGATTAGAGGGTCTTAACCCATTCACTGGTCCAACCCACCAATAACATTCTACCATGTTAATGTCCCACTTTGTTACAAGCTCGATTCACTAAGCTCGGCCTCTCCTCTTTCTCAAATGCGGGGAAGGGGAAGAGGAGAGAGATAGGGGTGCTTCTAGGAAGGTCCAGCAGCTCGGTGGTTGGCATCGCTCTTGATGGTAAGCCACAAGGTCACTAGCAACATTGTGGGCAAAGGAGAGGTGGCGGGAGGGCACCGGTGGGCTAGGGCATGGCAAGGATTAAAAGGAGAGAGAGAGAGAGAGAGAGAGAGAGAGAGAGAGAGAGAGAGAGAGAGAGAGAGAGAGAAGAAGAAGAAGAAGAAGAAGAAGAAGAAGAAGAACGGAACGGGAAATAGGAGATTGAATGGATGGCTAAGTTTTTCTTTTGTTGTCTATTGAAGTGGCGCATGAACTGAATTTATGAGATTTTGTGGGACACACTACTAACTGTTATAAAAACTTAAGCTGTTAGATGAAGGTGTGGTTTAATATTTAATTACTTTAACACTCCTCCTCACCTTAGTTTGGTCTTTCAGTCTAGTACTAAATGTTGACATATTTAATTGGGGAGACAAATGGCGCCTGGAAAGATTTGAACTCAAGACCTCCAGTTATGATATCAAATGAGATTTTGTGAGATTACTGCTGATTGTTCTAAAAGTTTAAATTGTTAGATGAAGACGTGATTTAATATTTAATTACCTTAACAGAATCCAATGGTAAATGGGGTGGTGACAAGAAATGGGTGCAATACTTAGGATAGTTTTACTTCTCCCCCGTCAAGTACCCCCTCTCTCTCTCTCTCTCTCTCTCTCTCTCTCTCTCTCTCTCTCTCTCTCTCCGCACTATCTCCTCTTCTCTTTCGCACAAATGTCCGTGTGCCCTATTGCAAATTTACTTTAAACTGCTTAAATTCGTAAACTCACCAACCCTTTTTCAAGTATCAGTGCAACATGACTTTCTAGAAGAGACTATACTCCAATAAAATAAGTGTGTGAATCAAATAAATGAATATTTTCCCACGGTCACCGCCATCACCACTAATATGATAATAATGACAAGGGAAAATGATACAAATAGTTTCTGAACTTTGGCCCAATATGCAATTTGGTTCCTGAACTTTTAATTTGTTCAATATAGTCCTTGAACTTTATGCTGATGTTCAATTTGGTCCATAAACTTTCAATTTGTTCAATGTCATCCTTGAAATTTTGGTACATGTTCAATTCAGTTCCTAAACTATATGAAAATGTTTAATGCAGTCAAATGGAACATTAGCCTAAAGTTCATGGACTACATTGAACAAATTAAAAATTCAGGAACCAAATTACACATTGGGCCAAAGTTTAAGGACTGTTTGTGTCATTATCCTTAATGACAACCTTGCATTGGCCCTTGGTGGCGATGTTTTTCCTTTTGTTTGTCCTCTTACTTTTTAGTTTTTATTGTTTTCGTTGGCCATGTTTCCTCGGACGGTGTCTTCATCATCCCCTTTTTTCCCTCTCTTCAGAAATTATTTTTTCACCTCGCAATCACAAAACCCTAGAGAACAAAAGCGACATCCTCAAAAATCCTGTTTTGCAAATTTCCAGCTCTCGTCTCTCTGCCAAGGGTTGGTGAGTGTTAGGGGTGTGCAAAGGAACCGGGAACCTCCCGCACCGCCCGGAATCGGACTGCCCAAAATCAGACAAGAATCGGTGATTCCCATGGGGACCGGTTCGGTTCCCGGTTCTAGGTGTGGAACTGTCTACCCTGACCGGACCGGACCAGTAATATATATAATTTTTAAGAAAAATTTCCAACAAAAAAAATATTTTAAGAAAAATGAAAACCATAAAGTCTCTAATTTAAAGCTCAAGACTCATCAATTAAGTGCTTGTTTTGTCTCACACTCACTTTGTCTGAGTCATATCTCTATCTCTCATTCATGGTCTCGACTCTTACGCTCATTGTCCATCGACTTATGGCATCCACTCTTAACTCCCATCAACTCACGGCATTGCCTTCGGCCGTTCATCACCTCCCTCTCCCGATCTTAGTCATCTCCATTTGCGTGAAGCATGGTAGAACTGGTTCCATGGATACACCCAAGAATCGGACCAGACCAGCGGTCCGGTTCTCGGGTGGATCCATGCAACCAATGGGCGGTTCCCGATTCTAATATTTCAAAACCAATTCTTCGTAGGCGGTTTTCGGTTCTATGATGGGAACCGCCTATCCGGATCATGCTCACTCTAGTGAGTGCACGTGATGCATGATGCTGCAGTGACGATTTCTTTATTCACCACAATAATGCCAATAATTCATTTTCAAATTATATTTAATTAATTCTTGAGTGGAAGTAATTGGTTCCACATTTATTGGTGGGACTAATGAGATGGGTTTTGATTGCGTATGGATTTGGTGGGGAGTTCGAGCTTGCGAACGCGTTTGATGCTGTGTTGCTTGTGATCTCTACAGTTAAATTAAAAGTGTTCGAAATTCAAAACTCACCAGTCCGTGTGGCCATTGGAGGAAAAAGCTCCAGGTTAGGGTCTAGAGCTAGTGGCCATGATTGAAGCTGGGAAACAACCTTTGGGATTGGTAAGGTTTAATATTGGACTCGACCCTCCATTGTACATGTCCTTTTTTGACAAAAGAACAATGTTTGAACACCCAAGACATATAAATAAATGGATGGGTATATAATAATGTATGTGAATGATTACAACGTAGTTTAGGGTACGGCCCTTTGTTGTTTTTGTCTCCAATAAGAGAGATAATCTACTCACAGGTTGATTTTATTTGCTTTGGTCAAAGGAAAAATAAAATATATCCCAGATCTTACTCGTGTCATGATTTTATCCCCACAAAAGGAAATTGCTCTTTGCTTCATTGGACCTGTTAGAGATATGCGTGGGAAAGTTTTAGACAAAAAAAAGTCCTACATCGAGGATGTGGTGTACGGTAGAGGTATTAATATCTTATGATTGACTCATAACATATTTTCTTAAATTTTTTTTGTTAATATTGATCTAATTGGATATATTGATGATCTTAGACTTGCACTCCCTTGGGATGATCTCTCGGTTAAAAGTATCGGGTTTCTACTGCGTTAAACTAACAAGTGGTATCGAAGTTGATGATTCGAAGATCTCCACATGAAGCATGCCACAGTTAAGTAATGCAATACAAGCTGTTTAGAGACCCGTTCATGATGTGAAGTGAACTCATGATCTTGTGAAACCACCTTGGTAGTCCTGAACTTGAATTCTGATTTTGATTAACATTCTAACAATAAAATGTATTTAAGGCCTCAATAAAGCACCCAAATTTTTATTTGACTTTTTTTTCGGGAGAATTGGTATAGTTGTATTTAATTGTTATGACACTCATCGTTATGCAAAAATTGGAATTCGACCTAAGATAAAGCATGGAAACTAATCCTAAATTGTGAGGAAAACGGTAGTCTTGAGAATGTTAAAGTACATAACTTATTGTTCTAACGATACATATGACTATAGTATCCCTACCGGTTTATCTAGAAGTTTAAGTAATCGCATGTGAAGGCTTTATTCATTGAAATTCTCTACCAATTAGCGATGCTCTTATAACTCTCCTTCAAAAGGAAAAGAGTTTGGGTCCTGTCGATAAGAATAGGGATAAGTCTACTAAAAGTCCTACAAATCATCACAAAAGTGCAATCAATTCATAAAACTTGTTAAGTTTTTGCAATCAAACCTTAAAACTTGTTAGCATTTTCTGTTTATCAGGTTGGACGGACTTAATAAACAAACTTGATTGCATAGACTTGACAAGTTTTATTACTTAATTGCACTTTTTGAAAGTAGTAAGACTTTCTGACTAAAAAAAAAAACGAAAGTAGTAAAACCTAATTGCACTTTCGTGACAAGTTTTAATACTTAATTGTACTTTTTAAAAGTTTTAGGATTTAATTGTACTTTCGTGATAAATTTTAGGACTTCGTGTACACTTATCCCACAAAAAATAAGGTAACTTAGTTATAAAGACTCGATTGACTTGACAATTTATATATATTTATAATTTCCTGAATATTTTTCGTTTTCTTTTTTTGTTTTTTTTCCTAAAAAATGGGGGATACACATGGTCGGCAGCTTACCAGTCGCCGGCCACAGGCAATCTGACCTGAGCGTGTCGGTCCGAGTCCATAAATGGACTGGGCTTTGCAAATAAACCCAGTCTGGCAACCCTAAAAGAAAAAAGCAAAAAACTAAGCCTAGCCCATAACCTATTACAAACCTAAGCTATAATTAAATTAAACCGGCCCAATAGAAACCAAAGCAGGCCTAGTCGGCCAGACCTGTGAGCCGGGCCCGACCCAGTCCAGGCCTAGCCGACCCGACTCCCTCTCGTAACTATTTCCCCAGTAGCCTCGCGGTAGCTCAACGCGACGGAGATGGCCATGGCAAAGAGATGCTGCTTGTCTCCGTTTGGCCGAGGATGCGTCGCGGGCCGACTCGGCCCGGTTACCACCTAGCCGGCGACGCCTCATCGGCGACCACAGTGGGCGCTGCTCGAGCGCTCAATCTGTGAGATCCATAGCCTCTGTGAGCTGCCACAATGGTGGCCACGGACTGAGAAACATCGGCCATCCTGACGATGACACCTTCACCTGGGTCACCGTTCTGTAGCCGATCCCGATGCCGCAGGTCAAGGATACCCCCTCTCGGCCAAACGCAAAAACAGTGGGTGAAGCGGCGGGGACGCATCGAAATGGCCAAACGGCCGACACCCGGCAATGTCAAACGCCACGGGGATGCCTTGACAAGGCGAGGCTGAACACTGACGGCTCAACTCTGACCAAAACAACTAAACAAAATTGGATCTTATTCGGGCATTTTAACAACAATTAGAGTGCACTACCGAAACAAGGGGTTCTCGGCTCAATCGTGACTCGACTCGGGGCCGGGCCTCTCGACAGACAAACAACAACACACACAACAACCAAACAAAGGATGGACGGAAGCTAGAGTTCGTGTGAGGCGAACAACCCTGATCCCCCCCCCCTTCTTTCTATCCCATTTTTTTTAATTTCTTGGTAAAACCTATTTCTACTAATGCAAATGCTCCTAGTGACTATATGCTATGTAATTTAATTAATATTTTTGTTTAGAGATCAAAAATCAATTCCTAATTTTTCATGTAATAAATTACTAAATAGGATATTAAAATTTAGGTGTCAGCAATACTCTCCTTTTTCAATTTGATCTTCTTCAAATAGTTTGAGATCTCTCATTTTGCTTAGAAGCTTCTTATTTTTTCTCATTGATCTTTCAATGATTGTAATGATAAATTTTAAAATTTCTTTGGTCAAATGGATCAGATCTTGTCGTTTCTTTTGGCTAAAGTAGAGCAAGAAAGCCCAAAATACATAGGATTTGAGATAGATTTCATCATGGCCTTGGAAAGTGAGTTGAGAACCTAACGACAAGGTAACATGTTTATCTTGAAATTCATGATTCGTCCCTTTGAGGCTCTAAGGATTACTATACGGAGATTGTTGTTATTACTACTCATTTATATGTATATTCATTACATTCGACAGTATAATCCATGAAATACTATAATCCGTGAGCTTGACCATAATAACTGACATCATCTTGCTTTTGTGCTTCTCAGTGACCTGAGTGAGAGATGAAATTGGATTGAGGCAAATTACGATGTGCCAAGCTATATTGGGTCACCAAGAGGTGGTTCATCTCGACTTTCTGTGTTCTAACGAGTACAATTCCAGGATTGATAATACTACCCGGTGCAAGATATTACATTATTTGAGGGAACCCTAGATTCTATCAGAGTGCTATAATCTCATAATGACTCTATTAATAAGCCCTCAAAGTCGAAGTCTACCGTCTTAGATATATTAAGTTTGTCACAATCATTCATCTTCATTGCTGCGATGAGACGTTAATCTTTGTCCCAATGTTCTTACCTTAATTTTAATCTACAAATCAAATGTGCATTTAAATAAATTTATAAAAATAAAAACATAAAAAAAGAGCGAAAGGGGAAAAGAAAAGAAAAGAAAAGAAAGAAAAAATAAGTCCGACCAATCAATTCACATGACCCAATTCACACAAAAAAAGAAGGAAAAATTCGGAATTTTTTTTAAAAATGCAAAAATTATTTACGTTGACACTGACCACGCACCCATCATATAGGACGGCCAGTGTCTACGTCGGTGATTTCCGGTCAAAATTGGCTGAAAGGAATAAATTAGCAAGCTATCCAAATGTTTATGACTAAATTTGTACAATTGAAAGGTTTAGAGCTGAATAGGCTGGCGCACAATAGGTTTATGATTTTATGGACAATTATTCCTTATACACAATGAACACATAATAACACAACTAATCCAATTCTACATATAAAACATTAGATACAGTAAGGCAAAGATTAGAGTTGGGGTGAACGAAATCTCTTCCAAAATCAGATTCTAGATTCCTAAATATTATTGTTTTCCGAACGTTGGCTAATTCGATCTTTCTTCGTCTCATTGATAATTTGGCCCATTTAGTTTCAAACTTTTCAATTTGGCCCGTTTAGTTTTAAACTTTTTGACAATTTGTCAATTTAGTCATTCAGGCTAATTTTGGCCGAATACCATTGACGCGGATGCCGTTGTCTTACGTGGCATATCCGATACTGATGTAGATAATTTTTTCAATTTATAAATAATTTTTCTGAATATTTTTTTATTTGATTTGATTTTTCTTTTCTTTTTTTTTTCTACTATGGCCAGCGAGGGCCGCCTTGCCTGCGGCTGGCGAGGACAAGCCTTGCCCACTACCAGCAAGGCCTGGCGACCCTTGCCGGCCACAATGGAAAATAAAGAAAAGAAAAAGAAAAGAAAAGAAAAGAAAAGAAAAAATATACAATAAATTCAGAAAATTATAAAAAAATTATCCACGTTAGAGGTTTCCGGTGTCCATGTCAGCGGTTTCCATGTCAGCGGTTTCCTGTGTCACATAAGATGATCGGTGTTCATGTCAGCGGTTTCCGGTCAAAATTGGCAAGAATGACTAAATTGGCAAATTGTCAAAATTTTAAGACTAAATTGGTCAAATTGAAAAGTTTAGGACATAATTGGTATCCGTACAATAAGTTTAGGATTTTTTTGGCGAGTATCCCATATAATTTTGCCTTTTTTTTTTTTCAATTTGGCCCTTGGACGGCACGAGTTTCATGCAAATTAAGCTCTTCCATCATTCAAATATAATTTCCAAAAATAAAAGAAAGAGAGAATAAATCCTATGCTGGGGGACATATTACTATCATATCCAGAGAAATACGTCAAACGACCGAAACCTTATCCAAACCGGTGAACCCAATGGCAGAACGCCACGTCGGCGGCAAAGATCGTGATGTATCCAATGCTGGCTGTCTGAGGCCACAGAATGCTCATGTGGCTGTGATGCAGAATCTGCCACTGAGTTTTGCTTATAACCCTTTTGGACTGCACAAAACTAATCTGTAAAGTCAAAATCATCAAATCACAGCTTGAAGAAGGAGAGAGACCAAGAAAATCTGTAGCTCGATCTCTCTCAGTTTCAGCACAACAATGGCAACAACAGTCATGACATCTCTACCTCAGTTCAATGGCCTCAGGCCCACTGCTTCAGCAGCTCCCGTGCAGAGTCTGGTAGGAAGCTGACTCTCAAGAAACTTATTGGGTTTGCATACTGATAGATTTGCTGCTTGTGCATTGCCCTGTTAGTTCATTTCTGCACCAAATCTTAAGTAGGTCAAATTCGTGTTCGTGCCCATTTCAGGCTGCGGTTGTTCAGCCGATGAGGCGCAAGGGAAAGGGAAGGTTGGGCGCTCGCTGCGACTTCATTGGTTCGCCCACGAACTTGGTAAGCTGCACCTAAGCTTACATTGCACTTCATCATGTAATGTTATCTTTTTCCGGAAAATTCAATGATACCCAATGAATTCTTCCTTCTAAATTGGACTTCTTTGCATTTCGCCCGAGATCATGGAGATTCTCCGTCTTAAAACCGCGACACCTCGAATCCCGTATAATTTTGCTAAAAGAAGGGATTATGGAGTGATGTGTAAATGTGGAGTTTGTCCTTTTAGTGGAGCGAGAGTTCGTCCCACGTGGATCGAATCGGGTCATTGTAAAGGTGTTAGACTAGGAACTGTAAATATTATGTATGGTTCGAGATCGGACTGAGCCCGGACCTGATTCGACCGTCTTCGGAGTCCAATTTGTTTCGGGTTTTTTTTGTTAGAAACTCAGATTTTGGTGGATTTGAAGAAACGGGTGCATCATGTGTATGTGCAGATCATGGTGACCACAACAACCCTGATGCTGTTTGCTGGGAGGTTCGGGTTGGCGCCGTCGGCGAACCGGAAGGCCACCGCCGGTCTGAAGTTGGAGGCGAGGGACTCGGGTCTGCAGACCGGCGACCCGGCCGGCTTCACTCTCGCCGACACCTTGGCTTGCGGCAGCGTTGGCCACATCATCGGTGTTGGGGTTGTTCTTGGCCTCAAGAACTTGGGTGCCCTGTAAAAACAAAATTGTTGAAGAAAAGAAGTTGCACTAGTTTTGTTCTAGTTTCATGGTCCTTCTGTCCATACTTTGTTCTCTCCAAGTAATATATCTCTTTTCTCCTATTTAATTAACATTTATTTGAAAATATCAATTATGTCTAACATGTTAACACCCCCGCCTGCAATTCATTTTTTTTTTTCTAAATTAAACTTCAAGTTATCTCATATATGATTTGGATAATCTGTTCTGGCAATTAAATTGATTTGAAAAAAAAAAAACTAATATTTCACCGATTTCTCAGTTTGTTCATAGATTGATAAATTTTTCATCGTGCCCCGTCTCTTGTCCATTTAAAAAGTCTTCCACAATGAAGCTATATGCAACAATTATAAGAGAAGGATTGAGTTCCGGGAGATTATTTGCTAGAAAATCAGCAAAAAGGGAAAGGGTTAATATCATGAAAAATCCTAAACTGGTACATCTGTGATAAATTTATCCAAAAATAATTTTTTTACTACAAAAAAACCCAAACTGTAATAAATGGAAGGTAAAACCCCAAACTGGTATACCCGTTAATTGCCATGTGTCATCTAACTTAAAAATTTGACTGTAAAATTCAACGAAGATTAACGAAGGGTAAAATTGTCACAGGTGTACCGGTTTGGGGTAAATTTATCTGAGGTGTACCAATTTGAGATTTTTCATAGTATTAACCTAAACGAAAAATATTTTCTTGATCTTTCGCCGTCTGTATCGCTTGAGAAAATGATCCAACAGACGTTTCCGTTGTCGATAAATATTAACAGCAAAAACGTTTAGCATGTTCGACGATAACGTTCTCGTACATTTTCCATCGCTTCAGTCTCATAAGCCGGGAAAAGAATAGAAAAAACATCCTTCAATCATTTATTTATTAACAAGCACATTTGTTTTATTCAGCTCCGTTTTTCAGCCTCTAGTATTTAATTTTTTTTTATTTATTCTAAAATAGTCATTAATGATTTCAAAACGTATAATGCAACTGAGATTTTTTTTCTTTGATGAGATAATTTCACCTAATTATTAAGGAAATTGCAAAATAAAAAAAAATAAAAAATGAGAAGCAGGCACGCCCGGTGGGACTCGAACCCACAATCGTCTGATTAGAAGTCAGACGCCTTATCCATTAGGCCACGGGCGCCCAGTTGCACGAATTTTCGATTTTTATAATTAACTTGTAAATAGACAAACTGTTTTTTACACAAATTTTTTTTGTTTTTGAAAAGATGCGGTAATATTTTATGCTACCTAGCAAAGAGATTGCTTTTAGTTTTGGGATAATTACAAAAATGATTCCTGAACTTTGGCCCAATGTGTAATGTTGTTCATAAATTTTTAATTTCTTTTAATGTTGTTTATGAACTTTTGGTAAATGTTTAATCTAGTCTCTACACTATATAAAAATGTTCAATGTTATCCTTATGTTAATTTAATTGGATGAAATTTGCTGATTTGGCTTCCAATCGGATAAGTTTGAATGGTGGAGAAAAAAAAAAACAGTACACATGGATTATCCACGTAAAATATTCAACTTAAATCAAGATATAAAATCCATGTCATCAAAAAATATAGATAATCATTTTTCCAAGTTGAACAAATTAAAAAAATTAAAAGGAATATTATATTCCAAAAACAAGGATTATTATATTCTAATTTGAGTTCAATCTCTTATGTGGATAATTCATGTATAACCTTTTTTTTTTGTCAACCGTTCAAACTTGCTTGATTGGAAGTTAAATCAATAAATTCCAACTACTTGAATTAGTGGAAGAAAAAAAATCGATATTTTCTTATAGTCTAGGGACCAGATTGAATATCTACCAAAAGCCCAGGCATCACATTGAATAAATTAAAAAATCAGAGATGATGTTGCACATTGGGTTAAAGTTCAGGGACCACATTGAACAAGTTAAAATTTCAAGGATATCATTATACATTGAGCCAAAGTTAAGGAACCATTTGTGTCATTTTTCGTTTAGTATGATGTCTTATCCTTAGAGAACAAGAAAAGCTTCACGGGAAAGTCCCTTACGTGCATGCCATATAAAAGAGTTTTCATATAGGAAAAAAAGTGCTAAGTTTAGGAAATGGATGCAAATTATTACAAGATGATAAAAAAAAGTATTTCCTCGACTATATGTGTTTTCGCTACATTTAAATAATGTAGTTTAAGGATAGTACTTATATATTTGAAACCAAGTTATCATGAACAATGAGTAATATTTCCATGTAAAGATTAGGCAATTTTTTACCTTGCTTTAATAGTTTAACTATATATATAAGCTTATCTAAAAGGAATAAAAAATAGTATTGAAATCATTGTGTATTAAACTAGCCATTTCACAATTTGCGCACAGCGAGGATTTTCTCATAACATACTGTGTATATATTGAGGAAGCAAAATTAAGCCTTACCTACCCATCAGCAGCACAAAGCATGCCAAGTTTATTACCGCTGTTGTTATGGAAAAATTCTCAAGTAATATGTGTGCATGTGAGCTCAATACATTTGAACCCTTGATATTGATGAAACCGACATGGGATCTATGGGGTGGGACGCATTGGGCTGACATTTCTCAGGTTCGCCCCAAAATTTGAGAGACTCTTAAAATCCAACAGTTGTCTTTGAATGAACTCGTGGGAACTCTCATAGCTTACGGGGTAGAGCTTGAAAACAAAGAGCACAACTCAAGAGGTAAGAGGGCTATTGTTTTTATGCTAACCCTTTCGATGCAGATAATACATCATCAAATGAAGACAACGATGAAAAAGTAGCCTTACTATCAAAAGGTCCAGAAGCTACATGAGAAGAAGAAAGAAGTACAAAAGAAAGAACGGATACGAGCATGTCGAACCAAGCAAGAGTTCAAAAGGAAAAAAAGAGTTAAAAAGCAAAGAAATCACATGTTTTGAATGCAAAAAACCAAGACATATAAAGCCGAGTCGTTCTCAGTCGAAGAAAAAGAAAGGAAAGATGGGAAAGAAGAAGAAAGCGCTGAAAGCTTAGACGTGGAGTGATATAGAGTGTGAGTCCAACAATGGTGACGATACAGAGAAAAGCTAACCTATGTTCGATGGTTGATGTAGGATCAGAAGCTGATAAGGTAGAACCTTCTGAACTTATATGTGACGAAATGTATGACATGCTTAAAGAAATGTTTGATGAGTTGAGAAAAGTTTCTGAAAAGAATTCCGAGCTGAAACAGGAAATTTCTTCGTTAAAAGAGTAAGAGTTTTCGTGAAATAAAAAGGATACCAAGCTCTATAGAATGAAGTTGAGTCTACCAAAATAGAATGTGACCAACTACAGAAGGAGAATGCTTTTATAAAAAGGGAAGGCATACGAATTTTCAAAATGTTCTCTTTGAGCTCAGAAACTTTTAAATAAATCTTAGCTTGTCAAATTCCTTTCTATTATGTCAAAAAAAAAAAATCCTTTCTATCCAACTATCAATCACTATCGATCTCATTTTTTAAAATCAACAAAAAAAAATCCCATTCTGGTTAAGGCTATGAAACTTGAGAAGAACTCTTGATAACCGAAGTAATTCCTTCATTTGTCTCTAATATGAAAGGACCCAAATATATTTGGTACCAAAGAGGAAACAAATTTGTGTTTCTTAAACTCAGTCCAACGAAGATAAAAAAAGATGTCAGTGGTATCTTGATAGTGGATGTTCGAGACAAATGTCGGTAGATTCATCAAAATTCATGACATATACACTAGTTGATGGTGGATCTGTGATCTTTGGAGGAACACATAAAGGGAAGATAATCTCAAGCCCACTGGAAGACAGGAAAAATAGCCCTTATGCGAGGGAACCATCGACATCCTCTAGACTTAGATGGTAACAATCTATTAATGAATTTACAATACCGCATAAAGAAAAATCTTAGGACGCAGGCAGATTATGCGTGTCTACGAATATGTCCAAATGCTCGCAGTGGACTCCGAAAGAGAGTGCCCGTCGTTAGCATTTGTTAATTAGCATGATTGTAAGTCCAAGGAAGAAGCCAAAAACATAGGGACGTAGAAAACTATATAACCTTATCAATCATGCGAGGATTTCTCCATCACGTCCCCCTATGTTGCAGCACGTGTGAGAGGGTTGCCTACGTAAGCGGTGGCGCATGCGTTGGCGCCAAGTGTTCTGGTCTGTCTCGGACTTGCTTTGCTCATTTCCTTAGAAACTATCTCAAACTTCCAATGTCCCATTTGACCCTTCTTTTATTCCTTTTTCCTTTGTTTTTTCTTTCTCCTGGTGATGATTCATCTGCCTTAACGGTCTATTTCACACACTCACTCTCTGTGTATATAATTCAAGAGCCATTTCAACAAGAAGCAGCTCGAGAGCGTTTCAGGTTCTCCTCTCTCTCTCTCTCTCTGTGCGGGTTTGTGGAGTTATATGTTCTTTCTTGTTTCTAATTTTGTTTGGGGCGATCGCTTGGTACTATGTTTGAAAAAAATGGGAGTTCTAATTTCTTTTGGTTCATAGCTCAAAGCATTGTTTTGGTGATTGTGGACTCATTAAAAGCTCAAGTCAAGTTGAGGAAATTTAAGTGGGCTTTTAGTTTGGAACAAAGAGCAATGGACTGTGACTTTGCTTGCGTTGCACTCTTCAATCTGCATAAACCCAGTGATTTCGTGTGATTTCGCCATAGTGGGCTTTCTTGCTAAACTTATTTTAACTCCAAATTCCCTGCAGTATTCATGAGGGATGTTTCTGAACATGTTCATTGATTCGGGGAAAGTTTTTGCTTAATGAGACTTCTGAGTGAATATAGTTCAATTCTGACTGAAGCAGTTGTGATGGACTCTTGCTGTTGTAGGAAAGGATTCATTTCAATTGGAAAGCAAAGAAGAAATTACTTGTTGTACTATGAGTATAAACCTTACTTGATCATTTAAATGGGTTTCGAGCTGTTGTATTGGTATTGCCGGCCGGTGGAGAATGGGATTTGGGCAAGGATTGCGGTCAGCGCTTTCGGTGCATACACACCTTGTGCCGTTGATTCCTTGGTCA